AGCGATAAACGTTCTCCCTGGTCACTCCAGCTGCCGTGTCTACGAATTTGAGTGTTGATAGTTCTTTCACCTTGATGATTTTATGTAACTAAGCTAATTGCAATTAGGAAAACGTCTTTCACAATTGCCAATGATGAAGATTGAAACATTTTGCATATTTCAACTGTTGACAATATTCTACGAAATTTTTAAGTAGGAGTGAAAGCTCTTTCAGGTCCAAAAAGAAAAAATGAAATATCTAAATTAATCAAAATGTTATAAAAAAAGATTTGTTTCTTAATTTTATGGTCAACGAAAATTTGGGCTTAAAAAATTAAATTCGGTATAACTTCGTAAAATAATTTCAGCAAAAAAAACCATGCCATTTAAAAAACTTATAAAAACAATAATTAGGCGAAAAAATTAATTTTCAACTCCGACCATGTTAAACTTGCCTGATTTAAAATAAAATTACATAATTACAATTTAAGAGAGAATTTTTGACCATATAGTCATAAAATTAAAAAAAAACATGTTTCAAAGTTAATTTAAATATGAAATATAAATTATTAATAAAAATTTAAACAATATAGGTTAAATAACAAAAGTTTAAATAACTTTGACAAAGAAATTTGTTGCATAGTAAAACTTAAATGATACCTTTAGAAGGAGCTTCACAACGTGACTGAATATAATTTCAAATATTTCTTTTTAATGAAATATCAATTTTTGTTAAAGAAAAAAATTGCGTTCTTCATTTTAAAATTACCCCAGTTCGCAGTATTTTTATTTTTAGAATAAAAAAAAAATACATACACTGAATTTAAATAAGAATAAAAAGCATTGAATGATTCTAAAGTAAGATGCCAAGGATTTATTTTTTCTTTCAGAAAAGTTTTTGTTTTTAATAAAATAAAAAATATAAGAATACAGATATGAAATGAAAATATTGATAATTTTTTTGTATTTAACAAATTTTCAAATCAATTGGCAAACATTTGTAGATATTGTTACAATAATTTGTTTTATTCGCTTATACTTGAATGTAGATATATATTTAGAAAAAAAGGATCTTTTGAATTTCATCTTTTATTATGATTGAATAGATATGCTGCTTGTGAAAAGGGATATTTTTTCTTGGATGAAAGCTGAGTTCTTTAGTTATAAGATTGAAACGTGACTCGCGGTTGTTACATTTTATGTTAGTTTTACGCACGAGGTGAGCTATTGCACATAAAATCCTGTACGGTCATAAATTTTAATGCACGATATTTTATATATATATATATATATATATATATATATATATATATATATTGGTATGTATAGAATTATATATATATATATATATATAGGAATTTTGCATTCACAAGAATATTTTCAGTGAATTTTTTTTACAATCTTTCGTATATCTTTTGTACGCAAGATATTTAGATATATATATATATGTGTATGTTTTTATACAGATTTATTATTTTATATTTTTCTCACGTAAATTTTATTTTCTGGAAAGTTATTTTTGTTGCATAATCTAATTTATTTTTACATATGTAATTATTTCATTTATAATTAATAGCAAATACAAGTAAGTTAAATAATTAAATTAATAATAATTTTGTAATGAGAAGACATAATAAAATTATTATTTTATAGTTTTTATGCCTTTTTAATTTCTAAATTGATTAATTTTTCATTAAATTATATGAGTTTTCCGAGGTATTTCGCAATTTAGATACTTTTCTTTATTTCAATTAAGGGGGAGCAAACTTAGCCGTTATTTTGTGAATTTTTTTAACATAAAGAGAATAAAGCAATCGAAAAACGGTTTTTACTTTAAATTTATTCAGATTTCTAATTTATAAAATAATGATTTTTATTTTAGAATTTTTTTGTGCCTGGTCTATAAAGGGCTCAAAAACTGTCGTTCCTTGCCTCGCTGTTATTGGTGGGCATGATTGTGGCTGAACGACATGAGCTGAAACAAGAATCCAAAGTTTTTCTGAATTACGTACTTCCAAGCAGTATTAAATGAACAACAAAAAAGCTCCATGTTAAAGTCAATCTGTTAAAAATTATGGGAGTTATGATGCACACAAACTTGGAAAATGTTGTTTCTATAAAAAAAAGCGTTTAATGTTTTGCAATCATATGAGAAGAAACGTCTGAAAAATTTTTAAAAAGAAAAAAGTTTCATTACTTGATTTTCACACCAATTTAACATTAAACTCAACTATATTTATCATTATAATTTCAAAATGAATACTATAATTATAAAAATAAGAATTCCGGATAATTACTTTTTTAAACAATTTTGAAATGCATTTTTATTCTTAGAAATGAAACAGTAAAGAAAACTTTTTAAATAACATTAGTAATCTGCTTTTATTTTTAATTAAATTATTACACTTGAAGGGAGAAATAAAGAGAAAGAGATTTCTGTTTGTTTTTGTATAATTATTTTAGGTATATATATATATATATATATATATGTAAACATTTCAGACTAAGAAATTGGTAACAAAAATATTTAAAAGTCGTAGGAAGAAAATCGCGCTTCTTCCAAATGAATAATTATTGTGTAATTAAACTGACAACAAACGTAATGAAGGCCTCATTCTCTCATTTTGACTTAAATATATATATGAGAGATTCTTTTTCAATCGCCCCAGCCCAAAAAGTCAATGTTCTGGGATTGGCTTCATACTTTAGTAAATTGTTGTCCTATATGATAGTAATAAATCCCTAAAATATAAACTAATTAAAAAAATATTTGTAGAAAGTAGAGGGGGTTGAAGTTTTGACGTTAAGGGTAACATTGTCATTTTCAAATCCGTATAACTATGACAAAAGTTAATGGATTTTAATTTATCTATAATGAATTTTATTGCATTTTTCACGTACTTTTCAAAATTGTACACGAAATTTAAAAAAAAAATTTTAACCCCTTTTTTTCAAAATCAACCCTTATTTTTCGATTTTCACCCCTTCGGGAATTTTTTTTTGTTTTTTTTTTATTTTCATTGGAAAGCTGAGGTTTTTTCCCATGAGCTATGTAAATATGAAAATGGGACAACAATAATTTTGTGAGAAACATAATATTAAATTAGGCGGTGCCTATCTAAATCCTCAAAGATGATCTCCAGGTACACCCCTTATCGGCACCGCCTACTTTAATATTCTGTTACTCACAAAATTATTGTTGTCCCATTTTCATATTTACATAGCTCATGGGAAAAAACCTCAGCTTTCCAATGAAAATAAAAAAAAAAAAAAAAAATACGTGAAAAATGCAATAAAATTCATTATAGATAAATTAAAATCCATTAACTTTTGTCATAGTTATACGGATTTGAAAATGACAATGTTACCCTTAACGTCAAAACTTCAACCCCCTCTACTTTCTACAAATATTTTTTTAATTAATTTATATTTTAGGGATTTATTACTATCATATAGGACAACAATTTACCAAAGTATGAAGCCAATCCCAGAACATTGACTTTTTGGGCTGGGGCGATTGAAAAAGAATCTCTCATATATATACTAGAGAGGCTACGCCCTCCTGCGCGCTTTGCGCGCCAACCCCCCTATTTTTGGCGGGAAATACAGAGAGAGATGAGGGAAGGGGGAAGGACTTACTGCTTTATTAGGGTCTTAAAACAAACATAACCTCAAAATTTAGGTCAATTTTTGCGGAGGAGGGGAAATGAGAGGAGGGAGGGGGGACTTGCGGCTATATTCAGAGCCTTGAAACGAACATAACCTCAAAATTTAGGTCATTTCTGGCGGGGGAGGGGATGGGACTTGCGGCTATATTCAGAGTTTTGAAACGAACATAACCTCAAAATTTAGGTCATTTTTGACGGAGAAGGGGAAATGAAAGGAGGGAGGGGGACTTGCGGCTAAATTCAGAGCCTTGAAACGAACATAACCTAAAAATTGAGAAGGGGGGACTCCCCCCTCCTAGGTCAAGAATTCTTGAAACAGCGGCGGCGGAGGGGGCGGCGATATCTTTTTGTAATATATATATATATATATAAGTATATATTGTACATAACATTGTATAACACATTTTCTTTTTACTGGAAATATTTACGGTTTTCTTTCTCCATTATTTTCATCAACAAATGAATTTAAATATACAAAATCATGAATACTGAAAACACTGTAATCACTAACAAATAATTACAAACTGAATTCTCCATTTTTTCTCACCACAAAAAAATTATTATAAATACTGAAAACACTGTAATCACTTACAATGAATTACAAACTGACACAAAAATACACAACTTTTTCAGCAGTGCAAACATGTGCCTACCGTCACCAAATGTGCAGGCTCATCCTCTCTCATGTTTATTCTATTTATGCACCTTCATATTTCTACAAATGTTTCAATTAAAAATAATGTTATTTAAATACAAATGACCTTCAAAAAATATAATTTATGCATATGTTGTATAAATTTATTTCTCTTTAGACTTTCGTGATTATATAACCTATGGAATCTGTAATCGAAACAACATGATAAAAACAAACAATGGCGAAAGTACACGTCTTAAAGAAAAAATTAATTAAAAATTAATTAATGATTTATGCAAAATCTTTACTTTTTAAAAAATAATAAATTTTATTTTCATCTCGGAAAAATTAATCAATTAAAGTTAAGAAAAATATGAAAATTAACCAATAAGGAAAGGTGTCTACACTTAAAGTTAGCTGCAAGTATCTGATGAAATTATGTCGTCAGTTTTGACCAATCATAATTATGAATTCTACCAATAAGGATAGGTGTCTACGCTTGAAGTTAGGCAATTACACGTCTTGTTTTTAAGATAGGATATTTCAATAATTTTTAATTTATTTAAAAATTTGTATTATTAGGTACTTTTAATAAAAAAATATTTTTCATTTTATTATATAGTAAATTGTATTACTAAATTAATATCAGTAACAAAAAACTCGACATAAATATTAATGAGATAATAGAAAATAAATTTGTCTTTATATCTAAAACTTACTAAAGTTTTACGAGCCGATTACTTTCCGTTTGATCACAGCTGTTACCTTTGACCTTATGTACACGTCGCCTCGAACATTTGTGATCGTCAACTGCTTTATTTTCAGCTATCCAATTTCGACTCTCTCTCTATTGACTCGTCATTTCTTACACAAAAGCGTATTTTTTATATACTCAATTTAAGAAAGAGGCAGGAAGAATGGAGGGAGCCATGATATTTCATAAATCCAAAATTGAATTATTTGATGTTTTTATTTTTTTCTCTTTTATCATATTTTCTAGATAGAAATATATATATTTTCATCACTATAAGAAATATTTCAAATAATAATTTAATTTATAAAAAAATAGAAATATTTTTAAAAACGAAAACTTGGAAAATAATAAATTGCTGGTATTTTAAACTGTAAATAACAGCACGTGTACAGATACATATAAATTTTCCAAATGCTTTGTTGAATTTAGTAATTGTGGGTCTAATATTGACAAATGTCAGCAGCTTTGGTGCATCCTATATATTAGGATTCATGCAAAATTACATCAATACTATGGAAGTTAAATCTTCAAATATTGAATGTTGATTAATTTACCATTGGTTAAATTTTGCACAATTGTGATTCAATAGTTATAATTTAAAAATGAAATTAATTTTTAAAAAAATTATATTTCATTTTTTCTACTGAATTCAATAAAAATTAATTTTAATCAATTTTAGAACATACAGCTATACATTTATAAGAAAAAAATATGTTGGATCAAAATCTTGCATAAAAGAATAATTTTTTTAACATTTTAATTTTTTTCTTTTAACTGAGACAAAAATCGCAATTTTTATTTAATTTTAATAAACGATAGCTTATTTTACTCCTTGAAACATTCTGTTAAATCGAAATTTTTATAAAATTGTTAAAAATATTTTCTTTATAAATTATATATAAAATTGATAAAAGAATACTTTCCTGAAATAAAAGTTTGGTTTAATTCTCTTTCGTATTTATACAATGCAACTTGTCTTTAGTTTAAACTTCAAGAAATGTAATATTATACTATACAGAAATAATAAGAACAAGCGTCGACAAATCGCCAGTTAGTTTCTTGACCTAATTTTTGAAAATTCTAGATCTCTATTTCTTTTATTTATTTACTTTTTAAATATCATACACTTTAAGGAGATTTAATTTTCAAATGTTCTAATGTTTTTTTTTCTTTAACTGTAACTCGAGAAGGAGATTCTTTACAGTATAAAACTTTTGCAATGACAGAGGGGAAAAAAAGTTTTTCTCTTTATTAAAGAATACCTGTTTCTGACAAAGGTGAAAGCATATTTACACAGAAAAAACCTGAATTCAAATTGAGTATAGATTCTATACTCAATTTGATTCGCAACAAAAATGAAACTGGTTGTTTCATTTCGAGTTCTAAGGTAAAAGTATCAAAATGAAACAGGCAAGTTTCATTTTGAGAAAAAGAAAAATGGAAAAATATTGTGAAATAACGAATAATTTTGCACAAAAACATGAAATATAATAATTACAAAGAAGTAAATAACACGCTAGACTTAATATATTTGATTAAAAATTGCTTGTAATCGCGTAATAAAATAATAAAGGAAATATGTTTTTAGGTTAGAAAAATGAAAACATGTGTTTTGACAACAGGAACGGTACTGCCAACTTAAATAATAGCGGTAAATTTAAAAACTTATGAAATTAATTATTATCTACGTAAATAATAATAAATAATTTTTATTTAAAAACTTCTAAATATTCGTACTGGTCAAAATAATCTTTCTGGTGTTGTTGAAATATTAGAAACAATAATTGAAATACAAAATTACTCTGCTTATGATGCCAACTTAGAAATCTGAAATTCCAGCCAATATCATTTTGAATAACATGAAGTTTGTCCCATATTCATTTCGATACCCAAAAGAAAATGAGTTGCAACAAAAATGAGTCCAAGTTTTTTCTGTGTATATTTGTGTGATTTTGCCCTTGAATGATGGATATTAATTATTAATCTTATTTTAAATTTGATTTTGCACACTATTGTGAGCAACTTTCCCTAGTTTGTAGTTGATAATTAATTCTAACTTTCACATTGACATCCTGTAAATTGTTTAAATGATTCAAGGTAAATGCTATTCATCATATCTACCTCCCTCTAATTAGTCGTCTTAACTTTGTTAGTTTTCTCTGTGTATGTTTTCTCTGAGAGTTCTAGAAATCTTGAACATTTAAATGCACATGATGTGAGCTTTGGCATTTTTGCCTTTCGAAGATGTAACAAAGCTATACACCAGGAGCATTACTGTCAGCTGTGTAAAGTACTTCAAAGTAAACTATGTCGTTTGTAAAACAGGACGAGGAAGAGGTAGAGCAATTTAACCACTACATTCGATCAACGTTTGGAGACATAGTACAAAGTGTAGGAACTTTTTGCTTTTCAACGCAATTAAAAATATTCATTTTGTTGTTGGAAAATATCACTTTCGATTTGTTCTCTTTTCTTATTGAGTAATTGTGAAAAATAACAAACCAGTAAACAAAAGATGATTACGATGAAAGTTTACTAAAACCAAATTCTAATAAAGATTATACCAAAAAAGAAGCAAATTAATATTTAATCTTATATATTATGTTTAATAAACTAAATTTTTTGTTTAGGAAACTTGTGTTCGGAAGAAAGATCTTTGAGGAGGGAAAACTTCGGGTCGCGGAGTATTCAGGAATCTAGCTGTTCGAGAAAATGTAAGTTAATTAAAAAATTAAATTATTCATTTCACGTATAGACAATGTACCCTGAGGTATATAACAGAAGTTGTAAAGTTGGCCAGGAGCGCTGATTTTTCCAGACTTTCCTTTCACTCTTCACTCACTGCATTAACCACCTTTCATCTTAATTATTACATATTGTAAGACTTTCTCTGGATTTTAAACAGATTTTAGTTCTTTTAAAATAAAATAAATTACAGAAAAAATGATCATAACAATTTTTCTTGATTACACAGCCATGTCATTGCAAATCTTTCTGACCTAATTATTCTATGTCCTTACAAGAGTATTTTTAGGTTTCTCAAGGGTTGAACTAAAGACTTCGCATCATCCTCTGACTTACATTCTTCTTACAGTCTGCAAACTTATGATCGGGTTCTCCGAATCTAAAGTACGCTGCTGATCTGTACTCCTCTTTGCAGTCTCTACCTAGACGTCAGAATTGCGCTTATCGTCGTGCTCACGGCCGACTGGGATGCCTGGGTCCTTAAGGACTATAACTCCCGATCTTAAAATAAGCATATCTACCCCCTATAACGAAAGAACTACCGGCATGTTGAAACGGCGGCGATTTGGCAAGCCGCCTCGCTACCGATGCACCATGGGGAAAGAGGAGGGAAAAATTTCCGTTGTAAGGTCCTTAACGACCAAAACGGCGAAATGAAATAGCGGAACGGTTAGTAACATTCATCTTGGACCCGATAACACCCCAACAGGAGTGGGCGTGAGTTAGCGAGGACAAGAATTCTGCACTTCCAACGGGGACCACGTGGAACATCCGCTCCCACACCGAAGTGTCAGACCGCAGTCTGAAACCACAACGGTCTTACCCTGCCTCCGGACGCTACCTAGACGTCAGTAACCGATTCATTGGTGACACCGCTAACTTTTTTCTTAATTGGGCAACACATAAAGCCATTTTTTATGCGTTCCAATTCCTCCAGCCTATCCGCCTCTTCTGGGTTAGTGATTTCAACTGCGAGCTTTATCCCACGACTGTTGGGTCCTAGGAACGTCAGCTTCCTGTTTCCTGGCTTATCAAGTGTTTTATCTAAGGATTACACGGTGTCTGTTTCCGCTACATGGCAATCCAAGGCATGAAACTCATGTTTTGCCTATGTCATTAAAGGATAAAAGGGGATGCCCGGGTCCGTTAAAAAACTGATAAGGACTATAATTCCAGATGTTACGTGGACTGTGTTATCTAGATACTTTGACCACAAGGTACTGCGGGGATGGAAAAACGCCTTTTACGACATAGAATTCCTCCTGATGTCTTTTTTTTCCCTACAAGATTGACGACGTCTAGAGTGAAAGAAGAGGGTACCTAATGAAATGTCGAAGCAGTTAGTTACAGTCATCTTGGTCCCGATAACACCCCAACAGGAGTGAGCATAAATTAGCGAGGACAAGAATTTTAAGGATCTCCAGTGTCACCCTTTAATCCTTCGATTTAACCTTACTCACAACTTTCAGTGCTTTTAGAAACTTTCTCGGTAAAGGCTTTCTTGTTGGGGCAAGCACCGATTTTGATCAGGAGATCTCCTCTTTTCGTAGCTTTAGCAGCCACCACCCTTGTGTGGCAGATATCCAGGTTGACCACTTTTCGAACCTTACCTAAAAAAGTAGCATACGAACATCCTTGACCGACTCGGATGACCATCGTCGAACTTCTTGTCGTCTTCTTTTTATGAACAAGGTATTTTAACTCTGGAGCCTTCGCTGCCCTTATGTCCCTTTGCTCTAAAGGTGTTTCCTCCTTCTTCTGACTCTTCGCCATATCTGTGCTGCCAGGGATCCTTTTCTTGGCTTTGTGCTTCTTTCTTGTCTTCTCTACAATATCCTAAAGGATTTTCAACCCATTTTTAATTGAACGATTGACGTTCTTCTGAACGTTAAAAGACTTCAGCATTTTCTGGACCTTGATATCAATTTTTGCCAACATTTCTATCTCCTATTTTCTCAACTCTTCGATTCGTGGTTAATTGTTTCCGCAACGATTGAGAAGGCTCGGTGTACTTCCAGTCCTCCTTAAACCACTTACTCCTTTCGCCAGTACCCAAGGTGTCCAATACTACAGCACTGTCGTCAAGGGATTTCTCACTCCTGGCGGCGCTAACATTGGGATATTTTTCTCTTGCACCGTAAACATCTTTACTGAACACTCTGAAAAAAGTAATCTCATATTTAGAGGAAAAATCCTCTTCTAATATCCTCTCAATTTTTCCTCTTAAAACAAAAGTAGTCCACTTGAATGTAGAATATTTTTATTCTTTGGTGACTAATAATAAAACAAAACAATTTTTTTTGAGGTTCTGATTTCAAAAACATTGAATTAAAGTTAAATA